AAGAGACCTCACGTCATTAACATCAGTAAATTACGTTGTTTTATACGACGTGTTTAAGTAGCAATTGTATTCAGTAGGTTACTATTAATGTTATTGGATACACCAACACTGTCGTGGTTATTGTCATACACAGTGTTAATGTTTTTTTCTGATAACGATACGTTTTCATGGTGGTTACTGCTTTCTATTTTTTCATAGTCCAATTGCAAAGTCACGTCAACCAAAATCCCCAACGACATGATGCTATCAAAGGTATGTAACCACTTGTGTATGTATTTTATGTGTGTAGGTACTTTATGTATGTAAACATTTATGTATGTAACCACTTCACGCATGTAACCACTTCACGAATTTAACCACTTCACGCATGTAACCACTTCACGCATGTAACCACTTCACGAATGTAACCCCTTCACGCATGTAACCCCTTCACGAATGTAACCCCTTCACGCATGTAACCCCTTCACGCATGTAACCCCTTCACGCATGTAACCCCTTCACGTATGTAACCACTTCACGCATGTAACCCCTTCACGCATGTAACCCCTTCACGCATGTAACCACTTCACGCATGTAACCACTTCACGCATGTAACCACTTCACGCATGTAACCACTTCACGCATGTAACCACTTCACGAATGTAACCACTTCACGCATGTAACCCCTTCACGAATGTAACCACTTCACGCATGTAACCCTTTCACGCATGTAACCACTTCACGCATGTAACCACTTCACACATGTAACCCCGTCACGCATGTAACCACTTAACACATGTAACCACTTCACGCATGTAGCCACTTCACGCATGTAGCCACTTCACGAATGTAACCACTTCACGCAAGTAACCACACGCATGTAACCACTTCACGCATGTAACCCCTTCACTCATGTAACCACTTCACGCATGTAACCACTTCACGCATGTAACCACTTCACACATGTAACCCCTTCACGCATGTAACCACTTCACGTATGTAACCACTTCACGCATGTAACCACTTCACGCATGTAACCACTTTTCCATGTAGGCACCTCACGTATGTAACCACTTAAGTATCAAACATATCCTTTTTGCTCTTTCTCTTTTCTTGTCTTCTTGATACACCCATAKCCGGTTGACACATCGCAGAATAATAAAGGCGCTGTCGTGTGTTCAAGATGATACTAAAAACGTAGAATTAAGCTGACATTAGACTTCCAGATAATGAAGCGGTATTTAGTACATAGTAGGGGGTACCTTGCGCAATTTGTTATCACGACAAACTGATAAGTTATGYATCTAAGGGTCGGGGGTGGGGTGGGGTGTGTTTCCCCTTAATCCCTCCTCTAAGTTCGCCCCTGAGTGGATCCTCTGTGTTCGTGGTTCAATTCATTCTTATTTAATGAAGTTTAGCTACTGTTCCTTTTCAAAGGTACCAGTTACAATATCACTTCCAAGAAATATCGAAAGCATTCACTTGGTACGTAAGATGAAACTATTTTCTGCTTTTTCTCCACGCGGTAAAGAGGATAACACGAAGCAGAGTTCTTAGAATATCCTCTTCGATGAACTTGCTCTTGCTCTTTTCCACCAAAGCGTTTATTGACCGAAAGTCCTGAAATTATTTTTGTGGTTTAGTCCAATTCGTTTGGTGTTATCTTTAGGATTTTTCAGCATCGGCTGTTGGAGAGACCAGCCAGAGAGAGCTTTACCAAGTCTTGAGGGAATATTTCCTATTTTGGATGGAAACGATTACATGCATAGGAAATATGCCATACGAAAATGCGCTCAGGTTGCACGAGTACAAGGTTTCTACGGCTTTGCCATCGAAAATGGCGGCCATTGTTTGGGTGGTAAGAATATCCTGCAGACTTATTCCATGTATGGGCCATCACGTGCTTGCAGACAAGATGGAAAAGGCGGKCCCTGGAGTATGGAGGTTTATAAATTCACAAGTAAGTTTTCTTCCAATAGTCAGTATCTATCAAATCCTACACTCAGTGCAGCTACACTCAAACGTCAAATATCGCACGAGAAAGCCTTGAAAGAGTACAAATATCCCGCATTATTTCAACTCYAAGTTATATTGTGAAGCTAGTTAAATTAGAAACCGCGCGAAAACTACTTTCTCAAAAAAAAAACAAAAAAACATGGATTTTGGAGTACTGTAAATATGTACCACGTTATCCTTTTCAACCAATGATAGCGCGTACGCGTTGGGTTATAAAGTTGTAGTTTCGAAGCAGCCATAATAATTTTTGCGAATGGCTATTTTTCGCACTTTGCATTTAAAGTAACTCTATTTATTATTGCGCATATKTTTTTTATGTTCAAACTTGTTCAGTGAACGTACAATATACATATTATTATTATTTTTTCCATAGCAACATCAATAAATCCAAAGAGCCGCAGAGGTGATATAATACGAGCTGTAGGGCTGGACGATGTCAAAGACATMTTCTTCAAAGGTTCAAAGCCGTGAAAGAAAACTGAGAAACCTTGAGAATAGCACYACAACAAAGTAACTTTCTACAAAAGTGGAATGATAGATACATTGGGCATTAACTGTATTATATCGGGATCTGCTTCAGATACACTTGTCTACACCCTTCCACTTTAAATTACTTTTACRGAACAATTAATATCGGGACACAAATAGATATATGACGGTATGAAATATGTTTATAAAAATGGTATTTTCAGCCGGTAGTTCAACGAGAATTCAGTAACAATGACACCATTCATTAGTGTATGGAAGGAATATTTCGGCTCATCATCGGGGGTTGTCAATTCACTTTCATACCACAGTTTATAGTTAGTTAAAAAATAATAATTTAGTCCTTCTTCGTGGTCACTACAAAGTATTGATTCTTCATTATATTAAAACTTATATTGTTAGTTTTGTAAAGTCGTGTTTGGAGTGGTCAATGTTTTTTTACCTATAAAGCTTTGTTTTTGTTATTCATTCATTCACTCACTTACTCACTCACTCACTCACTCACTCACTCACTCACTAACTAACTCACCCATTCATTCATTCTTTCATTCATTCATTTATTCATTTCATAAATACAATCCAATCAACCGTTTTTCGTTTACTAACTATAATATAGACTCGCCAGTTTAAATCTTCGCCGTATGCTCAAGGCATGGTTTTAGCAAATTAAATGGGATCAAAAACAGCGAGCTCAAGACGTGTTAGATAACATATGCGGCAGCTAGCTACTGTGATTAATTATCCCCATGATCCTGTTCGGTCTAGGCGCGTAGGGATAAAGCCGATCAAACGACAACGTTTAGTCAAAGGACTGTAGTCCTTTCACTCATTGATCAAGGCATTGATCTATATAACCAACCACAGGCCGATATTACGGGTACCATTCCAAATACCTGCCACGGCGCTATATGCATGACTGCCATTTTAAAAGCAAAATAAAATAACAGCAAACTATGATGATAGTTGTTCCGTCAGGTTGACGGCGTCGATAACGAAATGGATTTCTGCTGATATCAGTTTACTYTACACGTCCACTATATCACTGGGAATTTATAAAGCGATGTTTTACATGAAATATGAATATTCTTTCCGAACGTTGGTTCTTGTTCTTCTTGTTATAGGTCTTGTAGAAGAAAGCAGCGGTGAGTTGAAAAACCATCATATCATGTATCACATTTTGTCTTTACGTCGTGACATACCGATTATGGCACACAAGAAGGCAGCCCTTGTTCGTAAAATCTAAAAAATGTTATTCCAATGTATTTCAGCCTGCCATAAATGTGAATGTGATCCCAATGGTGCCTTGTCATCATGTCAGAGCGGTCACTGTACGCCAAACCATCAGTATCTCGCTGAACCAACAAAGTGTGACATCACTGGCAGGAAGTGTTGCAGGATGATGTGCCAGGGCGAAGGATCGATGTGCATGCCAGCTACAAAACCYTGCATGAAAGGACACACTGCAAGAAATATTAATAGCTGTAAAGTGGGATTTAAATGTTGTGTTCTTGTTTGAAAGTTAAAGGTCGTGTTAAAATGGATTTTCACAAACTCATTAATAATTCATGAGCTCAACGACCAATCAGAACATCGTATTTGGTCAGGTTGATGAGTCTTGATACTGGATCAAAGAGACGCAAGTGAAAAACGTCTGCGCATGCTCTGAATCCGTGTGTAAATTAGGCAAAACATATGTAAATTTGACTTTCAAACATGCCTGATAAATTGGACTTCACAAAATGCCAAAAGGCTTAGTGTTCATTGTGTTTGTGGATACAGTATCTTGGTCTCGTAAAAGTATACTCAGCTCGAACTCTTTATGATAGCCAATTGGAGTCCAGAGGAAGATCTATATGACATTTTCTACAAATTATTGGATAAATCCCGGGTTAAATAGAGAGAAAGATTAAATTCCTTAAGGCCGGATTAGAYGGTACGAATTTCGCCTACAACTATCGTATACAACACGCTCGCGTCTGTCGTAGGCGAGTTGTAGGCTTGATTTACACGCTACGACTCGAGTTGTAGGATGGCGCGAGCGTGTTGTATACGATAGTTGTAGGCGAAAATCGTACCGTCTAAACCGGCCTTTAAAGACCCATTGCCACTTACCGTGATGCACCGCGGTCACAGATGAATTCCGCGGTCCATGAAATTCGAAGATTCATATATTGAATAATAACTTCATATTAAATCCTTTTCCGACATAGCACTAAGTCACAATAATGATTCTTTTACATTCTTTTAAGAGTTTATTCAAAAGGTTAGAATTTGACTACCACGTACCAAAATGCTTCGCGGATTTTCTTTCTTATTCAAATTTGTATTTCCGCGTGAGAATAGCACGGTGGCCAAGAGGTGCGATATACACAACCACAAGTCCAAATCCAAGAAAACGAATATAAYTAGTTGTTGAATATTGTACTCAGTAAAGTGCTGCGAGTATCGGTGTGGAATGAAATCTGAGGGATTTTGGGTTTTGTTGYACGTGATTTTTGATCTATGTCATTTATTTCAAGGGTAGTAATATYCCTGATTTGTACCTCATTAACAGTTGGAAACTTGTCGTATTTCTTCGGCCTACGGAGGACCTCGTGCATTCATTCATCAGCTTCTCGGTTTCGAACCCCGATTTGTTCTCTCGTCCGCAGGCTACTTCATCAATTTATTCTCCAGAAAGTAATTGGGATTTCTGCGTTGAAATGATATGGCAGAGAATCTATATGTGATTTGCGTGACAATATGCAAATTTAAGTATTACGTCATCTGTTTCTATTTCCTGGAATTACAGAGAGCCCACGGAAAATAACATTTTACTTTTGTTTGTCTTCTGTCTGTGATATTTGTTTCGTAAAGTAAGTATCTATCATTATTATTATGATCTGTACAGCCAAATAGATCTCTCGAGTATAGTATATTGCGACCTATTTGGCTGTACAGATCATAATAATAACACATAGTGAAAACGTTACTTTAGTTTTCTACGAAAACATATGTGTTCTATAGTTTTCATTCTATATAGATCACACGTATATATTGATTCAGATCATGCTTGTTGAAGCATCCATTCTAAAAGAGTCGGGTGCTTTTGAGCTCGATTTTGTTTTATAAGAACTGGCCGACATTTGGAGACAGAAAACCATCCTTAATTTAACATCAWTGGGGTTGAAAGGATGCTGTTCAGTCGCGTACAAAGAAACATAATCATATTGAACTAGAACTGAAATTGTTGTACATTTTTAGCCAAAATTCCAAATTGAAATCACTCTATTTCGTGAGAAGTTCTGATAAACTTGGATTATGTTCGGCAATTGGACATATACGAAATCACCAAAACATGATGGTAATCGAACACAATCGAACGTTCAATAATCGAATGATTCTTGAATCGAACCGTATCGAAATTAATCGAACTCGCCAAAACGTCCCATTATGTCCGATTGCCGAAACAATTATAAAAGAATCAAGCGATCGAAGTTCGGCGGTACTGTTCRATTTAGTTCGATTTGGTTCAATGGGTCAAGTGCCGGCATTCGTCATTTGAAACTTGTCCTCTACCCCACTGTTTGCATTTGCCAATAGATGTTTTGCACCTTTACGTAAGCCCATAATACAGCTTGGGCTGCCTGTGGTAATGTGGCAAAAAAATAAAATCCCTTTGCTGTTAGAAATTAAATTCTCTCTCATGTACAACGGTTGTAACCATTAATTTTTTCATTCATGTTGTACTAATTCTTTTTTAAAGGTAATTATCCGCAGCTTATAAAATGTCTGACGGTCTCGACTTTCTTTGTGCTGACGACAGTTATAGCGATGACTGTGATACAGATAACAACAGTGTTGATATTGAGGATGAGTGCGCTGACGACAATGGTGGCGATGAATGTGATACAGATAACAACAGTGTTGATATTGAGGATGAGTTTGCTGACGACAATGATGGTGATGAATGTGATACAGATAACAACAGTGTTGATATTGATGAAGATATTGATGATGGGGAAAATTACTTCATTTTTGGCGACGAATGTGACCTTTCTAGCAATGATTCCCAAGACATCTATGATGGTGATGGTTATTACGAATGTATAAAAGTAAGTGTGGGTGTTGTGCTACCAATCAGTTGAGTTCATAGGAACATTAGAGGGTTTCCTATGCTTGCGAAACAAACAAACAAACAAACAAACAATTACTACTCATTTAGTTTTTTGAAATTACTTAGAAGGCTACAAGTACTCAAACTTAATGGAAGACTATTCCATAGTTTGACTCCGCTGTAAGACAGGCTTCGCTTCAAGGACTTAGAATGGGGTAGGGGGACTTTTAAGTTTGAATCAGAACCGCGTAAGCCATGGCTGTGGACCTCGTTGGTTTTATTAAGAAGATTTTTTAAGAGGCACGGTTTATTTCCTTCTATAATYTTATGGATTAAAATAACTTTATGAATTAGTCTCCTTCTATTTTCGAGATCAGACCAGCCAAGACTTGAACGGATTTCTGCAGATCTGATCTCATAGCCAGAATATATAGTAATTATGCGAGCAGCCCTGTTTTGAAGTTTCTGGAGTTTACTCTTCAGGACCAGCCCACAATTTCCCCATAAGCTAAAACAATAATCAAAACCAACGACTGGAGTTATACAGAGAAACAAGTTGAGGAATTGGTAAAATAGCTCTAAATGTACGCAGCTTCTGTAATCCCTTAATGACTTTTGGAGTGATAATATTATTTATATGATTCTCCCAACTTAAACCCAGGAGTTTTGCTCTGGTGACATGCTCAATACTTTTACCACCAATACTTATGTTTGGACTTCGTACAAGCCGATTTAATTTATAGATAGAGGCCAATAACATAAATTCGGTTTTACTTTGTTGGCCCTAAGCCACAAGCTTAGATTTTCAGCGGCATCAATACCTGAAAGATCCTCTAACTCACTCGTATTATACATTGGCAGTAGCAGTAATGTGCGTGTCGTCGGGAAGATCATTAATATATATCAGGGGCCTAAAAGAGACCCTTGAGGTACACCTGACTCAACAGCCTTGAACTGCAAAAAAGTATTATTTACCACGCAACATTGACCTTTATTGTTTAGATATGAAGAGAACATTTCAAGGGATTTGTACTGAATATAACAGAGAGTGAGGAAGGTAAAGAGGGAAGAAGGAAGGAAGGAAAGAAAGGAAGGAAGGGAAAAAATTATAGAAACAAAGAAAATAAAGTTTAAGGTTTCAAATTTTCTGACTTGCCCTAATGATCTGAAAGGCTGAAAAGAGCATTGTGCAAGACTAACAACATCAATTCTTTTATTCTGTAAAGGGTTTGACGAAAGCCAAGAAAAAGATGGAGCAAAAAGAAGACAGCACAGCGAAATCTGGTTCTCGGAAAAGAAACCGAAAATCCAAAGAGTCCGCCAGGCCATACAAAAAACGAAAAGTCGAATCGAAGTCAAAAGTATCTCAGAAATATATAAAGAAGTCGAGAAAAAACAAAGAATTCTTGGACAGAAACAAATTTTCTAACAAAAACCGAAAGAAAAGGTCGCAAGTGCAAATAAGTCCAAGTGCAATAAGGACGTTTTCTGCGAAATTTGTAAAAATTTCTAAAGATAGAATGAAATGGGCGAGAAAAATGGCTAATATTCATATCGAGTTCATTCGTAAATATTGCAAAACACATGCCAGTGAAATATTTAGTCACTTTGAATTTACGGGTAGCTTTTACGAGCACTTGAAGACTGAGGATGCTGATGAATTGGATATTCTTGTTGCTCTTGACACAAAGAACAATGCCGATTTGATGGTAGAGGAAGTCGATGGCGTTCCTGGTTATGCTCTAATCAAAGTGACAAAGAAATCCAGCAAGTATTGGCGCTTCGTCGACAATAAGAGGTACGTCGACCCAACGCAGATCAGAAGTTGGTTTTTTGGTCTTGTTCAAAAAGCAGTCAACCAATATGACAAAGATAAGCAAGAAAAAGACCCAGAATTAAAGCCTTCAGAAAATGGCCCTGCAACTAAGCTTCTTATTGACGATAAGGAAGCCAAAAAGAAACTAGAGGTAGATCTTGTACCTGCATTTCTTTTTAAACCAAAGAAAGACCGCTTGAGAGCTGCCCCTGTTAAAGGAATACGCTACGTGGCTAAGCCACCTGAGGATATAAAGGTYGATGAATTGAAAAGGGGAATGCTATGGAGGCAATCTTTCTCTCTTGAGGAGAAAAAGGAAATGGAAAAAATGGACAAGGAAGACCAGGGCTGTCGGCACGAGATAGTCAAAGTTATTAAGACCATCGTAAAAAACGATGGTCCGCCTCTCAACATCCTCTCGTCCTACCACATAAAAACTGCATTTCTTCACTACAACTTCGATAAAGATCACCAGAACCTTAAATGGAGCCGCAAACACCTGCCAGAAAGATTCCTGGGGCTGATGGACTACCTGAAACAGAAAATAAGCGAGAGAAATCTTAGTCATTTTTTTATTAAGAAGTTGAACCTACTCGAGCAGTTCAGTTTTCCTACCCTTCATAACATAGAAAATCGTTTATCGAAGCTAATTAGTAATGAGAAAGAATTAAAGAAAGTATTGAAGCAGCTTGACAACAAAACCAGGAGATATAAAAAACGTTCGTAAGGGTAAGCGCAAATGACTCAAGTGACGATGGCCGAATATAAATTAAAGACACTGTCTTTAAAATATGGTTATTGAGCAACTCATGAAAATTGAACGAAAAGTGTGACAGCTTTTCTCAAAGACACGTACATGGTGACCTTCTGACTTGATGCATGGCGTATAGAAATTAGTTATAATGATTAAAACTGTGGACACAATATACTTGCCAAGGCACATATAGGAACTATAAGGTGTAAGTCCATGACAATAGTGGGAAAACAACATACAATGTCTATAACGTATAAGGAAAGCAACTACAATAGTATACAAAAAAGTAATTGCTGCATAACTCTTTTTGAACATGTATGCAAATCAACAATTAGAGAAGAATACAACAGTCATAAATAGCATAAGGTAATAAAAATAGGTGTATCATGGAGGTCAAGTAGGTGGTGTCTTTATAACGTATAAGGAAAGCAACTACAATAGTATACAAAAAAGTAATTGCTGCATAACTCTTTTTGAACATGTATGCAAATCAACAATTAGAGAAGAATACAACAGTCATAAATAGCATAAGGTAATAAAAATAGGTGTATCATGGAGGTCAAGTAGGTGGTGTCTTTATTTTTAATATTTTGAAGATTATCAATAAAAATTTGAGGAACCACTTGCTACCTAAAAATAGCAATGCTAATCAAGTTAGGTAGCAAATTGAACAATGTACAATATTGCGATTTAGTGCAACATAAATACATTAGTTTTTGTATGGAACAATAACTTTACAAAACAATTATTGCTGTTAGATAGTTGCATAGTCAATCTCCTTCAGCAAGGATGTGATCTACAGTGGCGGCAGTCCAGTGTTCAAGCGAAAAATTCTAAAAACAATATTGTCTTCCTGTTGGGGCCACAACTGTAATAAATGGCCACAAATGTAATAAAGGTCACAAATGCAATAAAATTTGACCACAAGTGTAATAAAGGCCACAAATGTAATAAAAATATGACCACAAATGCAATAACAGTCACAAATGACCACAAAATAATTTTTTTGAAAGGAAAAAGTAGTACGTAGTGCCGTGATACGCCTCAAGAATACTATAAACTCGTAAATATGGCACCTGGCTTGGGTGAGGCTAGAACCACAAAGTCATGGCTGGTTTGATATCAAAAGCAGATATTCTCACTAGTTATTTAACACTATACTGTATGATTAACAAGCTTTAGCTAATTTACCCGATCWTTGAGAAATAGCACTTCTTTCGCTCTGCCAACTTTTTGCCAAGGTTGGTTTGGACGTAAGCGAAGCAACGCATAATTGATGAAGACCTCCACTGAACAAATATACCGCATACTCCGAAAATCATCGAGCCTGCCGTGCAGCCGGACTTTTCTCTCGAGATTAGTACAGCATATAGTACACAGGGATCCCAACTATAAAGATTAGTGTTGATTGAATAGATTTTTAATTCTCGTTACAACCAAAAAAATCTGGAAATTAGGAAATTTTTTCACCTTGCTTTAATACTCCATACATGCCTACAAGTGTTGCCGGTGATACTGGTGGGAGGGGAATGGAAAGCACAATATTAATAGATCCCATACATCAGTATTCAAAACAGTTTCACTCAAGTGAACCTCGTTGCGTTATGCGTTACGTGTATGGAAATTTTGTAATGTGTCGTCTGGTTTTCTTGGAAAAATCAATATCGAGTCTGCGGGGTGCCTAAGCGGGAAATTTCCCTCATTAATAAATCTGGCCACACAAACCAAGCAAACCAGCTATATTCTTCGATCTTCAAGATATTTCGAGCTGAGTAAGTATTCATAAGTTATGTTATTCTGTCACGAATGTCGTCAAAAAGAATTCTTGTATGCAATGAGTTTTTTATATTACGGCATACCGACATTGAAAAWCTGTTCTAGTCATCGATCGACTTTGATCAGTTGAATGATAAACTATTTATGCTAAGATATGTATTCACATGCAAGCCGAGCAATACTGGATGTTACGATGTTCTTCAAAATGTATTTTCAGTCGATCGATTTGTGAAATCAAAATTGAGCTACTCGGCCGTGCAAGAAGAGGGAACAACTACTAAGATTCTTGAAAAGGTTCATTTGCAACCGATTAACAACTCAGTTATTATAAAAGTGCTTCTTGGACGAAAACCGTCCGAAATTTACTTCAGCTGAAACTTTAATAGAAGAATCTTTAAGGCTCTAATAAACAATGGATAGAGTTTTAACTTGCATTTGATAATGAATTCCTTTGGGAAGTATTATATTTTTACGCGAATTTTTTATCAGAGTCTGTGACGTCATTGACTGTCAACACTAATGATTGTAAATTATAAATTGTAAATTGATTGTAAATCCATAGTAAGTACTCTACTAACTATGGTAAATCTAACTTATTTTAAAAGCCCAAAGGTCGGCTATTGACGTACGTTAGTGATTAAAATTGATAKTTTGAATAATGAGCATGAAACTAGCTGATATTTTGATAACAAAATAAGAAACTGGTATTTGGTGAGGGACGTCCTGCATACTATGACATAAGCATAAGAACCGTCCTCGCTATGACATAAGGCAACATAAGACCAAGCAGAAGCATAAAAAGCCCGTTGATCCTTGTGCTTAAGCTTATATGCCTTTTTGCTTGTACTTGTGCTTATGTCGCAGTGRGGACGTCAACAGAGAAGTGAGTGGGCTTGATATGCTTATGTCTGTGTTTATGCTTATGCTTATGTTGCTAGTGAAAACCACGCTTTAGGGACTGTGCAATATTTATCAGGGGGGAGGGGTTCTAAAATTCTCCAAATTGGGCTTAATTAAATTGAAGCTCAACCCCCCCTGTGCTAAGCGTAAAATAACTTCTCACCCCTCCCCCTTTTGAAATGAAATAACTATCAACCCCCCCCCCCATACATCATGATACATCGCGATAATGCAAATATAGTGAGATGTAAAAATGACGCCATTGAAATACTACAAAAATATGAACAAATAAAATTAAAGATAACTGATCAGGATGATAGCTGCTTTTTAAAAGAAGTGGGAAACTCCAAACTGTACTGAAATGTCATCATAAATTCAACTCAGTAACACTGCACTTTATTACTACTGATATTGAAAGAAACATTAGAGATTTGTCGGATAACATGGATAAAGCAATGGAAAAGTACTATGCTACCTATATGATTGGATCGAACAAAAAGTCAACAGTTTCATGGAAGAAAAAAGAAAATAAGAAAAAAGCTGAAAAACGGAAATCCTCGGCAACAGAACATAATTTAGCAAGAAAAGGGCATGTGTTATATTTAATTCCTTAGGAGGAAATCCTTCAGGAAATGAATACAGCCGTGAGATGTGGCATCCGACAACTTGATAATATTGATGAGGACACTCTACTAATATTTACATCTCATACTGACAAATCCTGCCTGAGGGATCTTCTTTCTTCGAAATGTTTTGTTGGGGAAGCCAAGGAGCTTGTTCAGAACTTCTGTTTTTATCCTTGTTATAGCACTAAATATCATGAACATAAAGATAGAAGAATTATTACGAAGCAAAACAAAAAAGACATGACATAGTCAGTTGTCTTATATACAGTCCTATATACAGTATAGAAAGTTGTGACTTGTACTGTTTTTATTACAAAGGATACTTAGTTTATACAATATATTTCAACACATATGGTTTTGAGGTTGCACCTGTGACAAGTTCTGTCCTTTATACAGTAAAAAATATAACAATGAATGTTAATTTTAAATAGTACATTTATATGCATCTTTTCAATTTTATAGGGAATAAAATCCCAAATAGACTAATGACCCCCCTCTCCATATTTAAGCAATTAGCTTCTAACCCCCCCTACCCTACACTCCACTTTAACTTTTGACTGACCCCCCTATTGATTTTAAAACCCCCCCCCCCCCGATAATTATTGCACAGTCTCTTATTAAAGATTCGCAAAAATTCAAGTAGCACTTTCAATTTCGCMAAAGCAAATACGGCTATTCAACTAAGGCTTCACCAAATGGCTTGGTTTTGATGTCGAAATTGGTGCACTTTTTTCACCCTTACAGGAATGTGGTACGATGACTATGACGATTACTGCGAACCAGACTATTTTCTTGATGACGACTTAGACAATGATCAACCAGACTATTTTCTTGRTGATGACTTAGACAACGATCAACCAGACTATTTTCTTGACCATTACTTGGACTATGAACCAGGCAATGTATTTGGTGCTGACTTAGACTACACTGAGGCTTCTTCTTCAGTGGTAAGATTTTAGATACATTATTTCTAGTTTTTGCAACAAAGAAAAAAAAAAAATCCTAGTCAACTACAATGCACTGCGTGCCGGAAACAATACAGCTGAAGTTTAAAAAGCCATTTCCTTTAAAGCTTTCYGCGGGATTTTATACATTTTGGCAACRAATCTAAGGTAGCCATTTCGAAAATTAATTGTGATTTCTAACAGTTTATCGAAACCGAAAAGTCWTAATGTCACAAAGAGAATCTCTCTGAAAAATTCAACATACCTGCCGTGGAATGGAAGGAAAGAAACTCTGGGAATTTAATGACTTTGGCATWGCAAATTTGCAGAAATTTTGCTCGAATGCGAATGCTCAAGGCGAACGATGTAAACAATAATATAGGGGCGCAGTGCTGATTGTAGTTGAGTAGGATTTTTAAAATCATTGATTATATAAAGAGAAAGTTGACCTTGTTCTTCAGGCTGTGGTGCCACTAGGATCACATGAAAGATCTTATCACGTGCAGGGCTCAGTATCATGGACAACATGTCCCTATAGCTCTAGTTATGATACTGTTGGTAACAATGCATATCTTTTTCTTGAATACAATCTCAGCTTTCATTTTTAATCACAACTATATGATTTTGCAAATTGGCATATACACTTATTTCAATAAAGTTAGTCACACCTGAAAAGCTATAAAGCTGAGACCGACAAGGATTTTGGGTAGATACATTTACATGTTTCAACCGCTTGATAACTGTTGATGGTTTTGAGATATTTTACCAGTTACAAGTTCACCTCCTCTGAGCATCCTCAACAGCTTCAGTTTGTGTCCAAATCTTTACTTGTTGGATATAAAATATTTCCCACGATTCTCAGCGATCACAGCTTTCTAGGTTTTTGGTGACTAACTTTATTGAAATAAGTATATACGGGATGCGAAGGGAAACTAAGAGTGGAACTGATTTCCAAAACCAACCGAGAGAAAAGTTCCTACCAGCGCTAGCACTTGCAAATTTTTAATSTACTTTTTATTCCCAAATTAAAAGGGTCCAGGAAAAACGCCTAGGGTTAACAAGCAAAAGATCATGAAAACTGCATCAAATAWTGACAATAAAAAAGGTTCAAAATCACAAAGAGCATCGAAAAAGGTTTCGTCAAGCAAGTCCTCATCCCAGAAGTTTGAAAAAAAATCAGCAGACCAGAAATCGAAAAGAACAGCTAAATTTGATGTCCCATTAGGAAAAAACCCAAAGAAATCCCAATTGCAAAATAAAGACCAGCAGAAGAACCAGCCATTTTCAAAGCATCGTAAACACCCCAAAAGGGATCTTAATGGAGCAATAAGGAAGTTCTCTGCAAGCAAGGTAAAGATCCCAAAGGAAAATACAAGATGGGCGAGAAAAATGGCTGATACTCATATTGAGTATGTTCGTCAATTCTGCCAAGAAAAATCGAAGGGAATATTCAACCACTTCGAATTCACGGGTAGCTTTTACGAGCACTTGAAGACTGAGGATGCTGATGAATTGGATATTCTTGTTGCTCTTGACACAAAGAACAATGCCGATTTGATGGTAGAGGAAGTCGATGGCGTTCCTGGTTATGCTCTAATCAAAGTGACAAAGAAATCCAGCAAGTATTGGCGCTTTGTTGATAGTAAGGGGTACGTGAGACCCACCAAGGTGAGAAGCTGGTTTTTTGGCCTTGTCCAGCAAGCAGTTAACCAATACAAGAAGCAAAAAAGCGAAAAAGACCCTCATCTAAAACCTTCAGATAATGGTCCTGCCACTAAGCTTCTTATTGACGATAAGGAAGCCAAAAAGAAACTAGAGGTAGATCTTGTACCTGCATTTCTKTTYAAACCAAAGAAGGACAGCTCACTTTCAGTTCCTGCTGAAGGAAGGCACTACGTTGCMAAACAGCTACCTGAAAAAATGATCACCGAAAACATGAAATGCACGAGGGAAATGCTTTGGAGACAATCCTTTTCTCTTCAGGAGAAAAAACAGATGGAAAACCTGGACAAAAAAGATTCAGGCTGTCGACGTGAGGTGGTCAAAGTTATCAAGACAGTAGTGAAAAATGATCCAACCCTCGCCAAGCTGTCATCTTATCACATAAAAACTGCATTTCTTCACTACAACTTTGATAAAGGTCAAGAAAACCTTGAATGGTGCGGAAAAGACATGGGAGAAAGGCTTAAAGGAGTGTTGGATTACCTAAAACAGAGAATAARCGAAAAAAATCTAGGTCATTTCTTCATCAATGACCTCAATCTACTGAAGGAACTGAATGACCCATCCCTTGAAAACATTGAAGGTCGTTTGAACAAGCTCATAACCAATGAAGRTGAGTTGAGAAGAGTTCTTGCGGTGCAGCCAGAGGATCTCAAAGTTGAAGCTAAGGGCAAGCCGGAGGCGAAAAAGGAATCTAAAAAGTCAAAGCCTCAGGGGCGAGCCAGAGCCAAGGCCCCTAAGACTGTAAATAAGTCCAGGGGCGGATCCAGAGGAGGGTTGCAGGGGGTGCGCACTTCTCCCTTGTTCGACTTTTTGTCCCTACTTTGAAGATAACCAATACTGTTTTTTCCTTTCATTCTAAGGGGTGCACCCCTCCCTGGGTTAACTTTGTGTCCAAAGTCCAAAGCCAAGTCTAAAACCACAAGTAAGCCACAAACACAAATAAGATATTTTTGAAGTGTCTTCAGCTCTTTTTACATAGTATCGTCGCGGTTTTAATACCCGATGAATCTATGTTCTTAAAATAGTATAAACGGTGTAATATAATTCCTGGAGAATAAACTTGAAGTTAGTCACGTGACATATTTTTAGGGTACAACCACGTGATTCAAAATCCCCTGAGATATAGAWAACTATATAAAACAAAATGCATATTGGTTGATTTGACAAGAGAAGCTAATGAGGAATATTTTGTTATTGTCAACCAACATGGCGGCTATGTACGACGTAACATGCACCCTAACAATTGCAAAAGTCTTGTTCACAAGTCTCTCATTCTTAAAGGGACTCGAATGAAGCACCTCCTTCTCATTCAATGAATAAATACTGACCTTATGTAATTCGGCAGGATATCAAGTTCACTAGATTTATTTCCATTTAATGTAACGGTATTTTTTCTTACGTTAAATACTTCAAATAATTATATATACACTAAAATACTTGCAAATAACTACATGTGATTCAAATAACTATATATGCACTTGTCAAAGGACCTGCCTCTAATCTTAGGAAGAAAAGTGCTGTTACGCTGATCGTCCAAAGACCTTATCCTTGCCTTGGGATCTACAAGTCAAATATATTAGAGCACCAACTTATGGCTTGAGTTGACTCTTTCAGTAAGACAGGTATTTTAGTTTAGTTGTGTGCAGATTGCCCAGAATACCAAAAGCATTTCGCATGAATTAAAATGATTCTTGAAGAAAAACAGCAACAGAAGACAACATAAAACAAAATACCTGCCATAATGTCAACTCTCACATAGAACTGATAGCAAATGTAAGCTAATAGTCAAAAGATTTCTAAATGGAATAAAAGAATGGAATTAAAATATCCGTAGTGTCTTTTTGCTTTAAATAAATATGTGAATAATTACTATATGAGTGGATGATCCATACACCATATCCTTTGCCAGTTGTCTCGGCCTTCGCAGGACCGCGAATAAAACTTCTTTGGGCCATGGTTGGCGACCCTTGTATAGCCAGACACTGTGACCATCAAACTCAAGTCACATTTTCCACAGGAAATCCACCCCGTGCCTTAGAAACAATGATGTTTTCCGCACTCTGCCGGAATCTTTCATGGCCGATTGATATTATAACCAAAGAAGCCAACAAAAAAAAGCTTTTGTTAAGCTAAACCAAGACGCAAGCTATAAAAACTAGAAATGTTGGACCTTTTTTTTGTCTTTTTAAAAAGGTTGGTCATGGGTATCGTTTTTCCTTCATGTAATAAGTGCTTCATAAGTAACAGATTTCCATGTAATGGACTCGATATTATTTCTAGGGTATTCCTTCGAGAATGGTCAAAAGTATCTATTTAAAATCAGATAATCAGGAGACGCTGGCTATGGTATTTGCTATTTGTTATAGGCAACCGTCACCCTCCTGTTCAGTCTCATACCGGACCCGAGCGATGTACAAAATTGGTTACCGATCGTAGACAGCACAATCGTGCTTGTCCAYGGAAATTTATTAAAATAAAGCTAGCTATTTAATGTTAATCCATATCATCCTTAGTCTCCCCCACAGCCGCTTTCAGTGTCGTCACGCAACGCTTTCTCCCCTGAGGAGAAAGCGTTGCGTGACGACACTGAAAGCGGCTGTGKGGGAGACTATATCATCCTAGAACATTACTGGTTATCATGTTGAACAGAGCCAGATTTGTGCCTCTTCCTTGGTGAAATTGTTTCATCTTCACAGCTCTGCAAAAGTATTGTCAGAAATACAAATATTAATACATCTTGGAATTGAGGTTTATGCTGAAGAAACACTAGCKGATGATAATTGCAGCAAATTGTGCACGATCCAGAGACCATATTAGACATTCTGGGGTTGATGAAAAAAACTTGATGGACGCTGTAATACAGCGTCTCCAACTCGACACCGTCTTTTCCTCAACCTCAGAATGGGACAGACTGTCCTTTGTGGTATAAACAAACAACGCCACATCAGAAATGTAACTATATTCTAGTCAATGTATAGATTTTTGGCATCCAAYAAAATCACTCAAAGGAAATATATGTTTCGCAGTAGCCAGTATTTATCGGATGTCTTTTGCCTGAATAGTTTTCCTAATGGTATTAATGGGCTACAAGCATTCCCAAGAGAATCAAAAGACAAAAACATGGCGRCCATCTTGGTGCGGTTAACAATGGATGCTTAATGAGAAATCTTTTGTTAAATGGCACCAACATGGCCGCGATGACGTAACGTGAATCGATGAATAGACTAACCGAATGGATAGCTATTAATTTATCAGGACTCCATTTAAACTAGCCTAGCTAAACTGACTAGTCCTGTATAAATATTGACTTAAATAAATAAAAAATTAACTAAACCAAATTCAAAATTCGCACCGATGTGAGGCTTAAGTTGTGAACAAAGGGATCTTGCGTGATGCAATCTGGCGTGATTCAAAAGTCACGAATCACGCCAGATCCCTTTGTTCACAACTTAAGCCTCACATCGGTGCGAGTTTTGAATTTGGTCTATAGTCTATTAACTATGACTAAACGTACCTCGTAATGCTCCATTGACGCCGGCCTCGTAGACCGTTCGACGATTCGTCGTATACAGCCCTCGTGCCCCCAGAACTCGAAGGATTCATGCAGGACATTATGAGCTAAATCAGCGTCTATATCCCAACTGTCACAGCCATCCTCAGAACTGGCGGACAAACAAGTTTCGTTTTGACCATCTTGTGTACTTTTTGAAAGATTTTGATTATTGTTATATGTTCTTGCACTAGCATGCCAATCATTTGGAACTGATTCCTTTTTGGCTTGATCTTCATCAGATTCGCAGCTGCTAGCTGGATGAGGTCCACTATCRCTAGAATTAACAGACCTTCTTTCATTGAAAGAATCATTAGTAGTTCTAGAGCCAGGAATATCTCGAGGATGAGATACCGGACTACAAGACTTTGTTAAATGTGTACATTTTTGAACCTCACAGTGACCATTACATAATGGATTAAYATGGCATCCGTTTTCAATGTTCATATTTTGTTCGTCAAGACAGATTTTGGATTCAGAACACACTGGACTTCTTTTTGTTACTGGACTTCGATCAGCGCTTGAATAAGATCCTTGCCGTCGCCTCGGCCGCTTTGATTTGCTGTAACTCCTACACTTTTTTAAAGGRCGGTTGCGAGAGGTATCTTCCATCTCCTTTGGCTCTCCGTCAATGTTATGGCAATATAATGTTACGTTTTTTGGGGGACTGCTAGAGCTACTTGATGAATTGGGACTACAATGACAAAAAAAAGGATAACATTACCATGTATAGGGACGTTGTGCAGGTTTTTTCAATGTCATCTGCGAGAATGACCATAACAAACAAACAAACAAGGAAACAAACAAACAAAAATAAATACTACTGCCCCCCTCTCTCTCCTTCCTCCTCCTCCTTATTTCTTGTGTATTCTTTAGGTACGCCCCTGACATAAATTCCTAACGTAGTCCTGGGTGCCATAAGTACACTCAATCCAGTTTACTTTATTACTTTAGAATATGAGTTACAAAGTTTTGTTGTTAAATCGRGTGATAAAGTTTGTCGTAAAATCGAGTATAAAGCTATGGTACCTAGACAAGTAATGATGATGATGAAGAACTTTACTTACCAGCTAGAAGTATCATTCCTACTTATTTTTTGATGTGACAGCATTCGTTCAACCACAGTCGCTTTTTCCCTCAATTCTGGTTTCAATACATTTTTCTTTGGTTTCCCAGTGTACACATTGAGCCGGTGTTCCCGCCTAAATGTCAGAGAGAAAGCAACGAACCAGCTTCTTAAATAATTATCGCAGAATAAGCGTGATAAGGCTGAAATGAAAGTCTCTAAACACAGAAAGATTGGATAGCCTGATAAAGCTAAAACCAACTGATTCGTACTGTTTATCGGTCAATGATTTCAGTGGGAATAGCTCTTMATAACTGAAATAACTTAGTCACCCAAACTAAAACTTTGTTACCATSGTGGTCATGGTAGAGAAGGGAGAAGGGGCTGGCGATCGGGGTTATGAGAAGAATATCRTACTGAGGGTGGCGTAAAAGAGGTTGCGGTAGTGATGGAGGGGAGGACGAAATATGACACAAGTAAGCAAACATTTTAAGCCAGTGTTTCTGTGTGWCGTACCTCATAAGCTCCTTTTCTCTTAACTCTAGTTGCTCCATACACGTGTTCAATTCCCGGTAAAGGCTGTTTGCTCTTTCAAGCTTTTCTTCATAATGCATTCTGATATCGCGTGCATGTCTACAATATAAAAAACCAACAGACTGAGTTACCAAATGTTGTTCACCGGTAAACATGCTTCAATTTTTTTGTCTTACTTGAGTTCTTCCTTTCGTCTTTGTATTAGTTCATCATCGAGCCGCTGTAACTGGTGAAGATTTTGTAAATTTGCACTTTCGTTTCTCATCTTCTCGAACTCAACACTGATTTCTGATCGCCAAGATATCTAGAAAACATTGAGAAGGGATTCGTATTAAGTTGTTTGATCTAGATAGCCTCGGCACATCAATAAAAATAGGGAAAAAGGCCTCCGGTTATAAAATAGTACGGACTTTAATCACTTCCTACTCTCCTAAGCTCCTTAAGGATGAAAGATAAAGTTACTTCTCTGTCCGCACCTTCGCCTTCTGAGTGGTCGAGGAGCGTGCTTTATGGAAAGCATACAGCACGCGTGCGCGATTTTTTGCTATACCTAAATTCATATCCAAAAGAACGGCTATTTCAATAATTTGCTTTTTTAGAAAAGTATTAAGTTTGTAGTAGCGTAGTGAGGGGAGGGCGACTACCCCCTCCAAACGTTTTACAGTAGCTGTCATTGAAGATGTCGTCATTGAAGATAGCAGAAAAACTCTAAAGATAAAATGCGTATGCGCGTCTTTTGGCGGGAAAATAGTACACTTTCCCACGACCCTGGCTGATTGGACTTATTTTATTGCTTCATGAGCCTCATTTCTATGAACTGTAACAACAGCCACCATAAATAAGTGCATTGCTGGCTCTAACACGAGTTTCATATAGCATTTGAGTGACGACTTACTTGTTGGTTTAAGAAGAAATCTGCTGGTGTATTCAAGACATCTGCAGCTGCAATTTCAATGTGCATCAACACTTGACGAAATGACGGACGATTTTTAGGCTTACTTTTCCTAATAAAATCACAAAGATCTAAATCATTTAACTATTCACGATTTTTTCAACGAGACTCTATAAATACAATCGATTCGTTTTCTTGAAACAAAACAAGAGAAAGAAAAATGAAGGCATTTAGAGGGCACCAATATGAACAAAAATCTAAATCCTTTAAAATCCTCTTTCCCTTCCATACAATCCAAAACACACACACACACACACACACACAAATGCTTATGTTACTAACCAGCAAAGTTTCATAAGAAGTTGGATTCCATCCGGACATGTTGAAGGTACTGGTAGCTGAAGGTTATTGCTGCCCACACCCCATATAATAGCAGATGAATCAACACCCTGTAAACACATTATAAACGTTAGCTGGAGCAGGCCTGTAGCAAGGGAAGGGGCTAGCTGGGGGGTTGGGGTGTGTCCCACTAGTTTTTGTCTCCAAGTCGACACAAGCATTAAATTGTCTCCTCTCCCCAGGATATCCAGGCCTTGCTACAGGCCTGAGCTGGGGACTTAGAGGGTTATAAGTGGGACTACTGCACTACGACCACTTTTTTGTCTTGCTTGGTGACCATGATGGATGATTTTAAATGGTGACAGCAGCTGGAGAATTACTTGCTTTACACCTAATTCTTGTGAAGGTGTTCTGTTGTTGTGATAAATTAATGATAACATGCTTTCCTCAAAAGATTATATATTGTATTGTAAAGAAAAMTCTGTTTTTGGTGGTTGCAGGTTAAGTCACAGTTCCAATGCATAACTTGACAGCTATTTCAAACAACTGATTAATTGTAAGCAATGAGTTGGTGTTTTCTTTTTCTAAAGTTGTGCCTCTTAGGTGCTATTTACAAACCTTATATGGTAATTCACCAGTCAATAACTCCCATAAAAGAACTCCAAAAGACCTGTTGAAGAAACATATTGAGAATAAGTGATTCTAGTGGATCTCAATCCCATTTCCCAGACTAATTTAGTATCTTCAAGAAAAAATCCAGCACTTTGATTCTATGCYAATATTCAGATCAGCTGATTTGCATTATTATCACTTTTCTAATTTTTTKTCTTTTAAAAGATTTTTCTGCCATGAAAAAAATCCTCCCATTCTTATTTTGAAAATTCTATTCTCTATTTCCAGTTATAAATCCCATTCTCAATATACAAAATCCCATAAATYATTCCCAAAGCAAAAGAGAAAATCCTGATAATCCTGATTTATGGGAAACTAGCTAGTATTTTAGAAATCGTTTTGGCAATGCAGGGCTGTCAACCCCCGAGATATTCAAATCTGGAGAATTGATAGGGAAGGGACATGACGTCATAGCGAGTCAAAAAGCATGCAAAAAGATGTCATTCACTTCGTAACATTTGATGTGATTGGTTTATTTCTGACCAATCAGATTATCGCTTACATTACAATGGCCTGCTTGCAAGAACAGCCATGAGGAACGTTTTGATTTTGTTAGCGGCGATGTAAAATAACACAAACACATAAAATAATTGGAATTTTATGGTTGTGAAAGTGGAGTCTCACAAGAAATGGTCAGCTTCGGGGATTATCCGGGAGATTTGAGACTCTAATCTGGAGACCGGGAGATAYGGTCCAAAATCTGGAGACTCCCGGTTTATCTGGGAGAGTTGACAGCCCTGGCAATGATACCATTAATCCAGCAATTAAAGCAAAATTCAATGACTTTTAGCTAGTCAGTAACAGTCACTTGAAATATTTATGTCTACTCAACATTGTGAGTAGTCCGCTAGCTAGGTGAGCCCAAAGTGAACAATGAAATTCCATAAAGTTACCATRTATTAGGGGGATCCAGGGGGAGGCTGGGTATGGACCCCCCTGTCACATCTTAGATTCAATCCATYGTCTTAGTAAGTTTTGTATAAAGTATACAATTGGACCTTCTCTCAAAAATTATTTGGTCCACCCTTGGTTGCTTTATATTTAAACAGRCACTTTTTTTAATGAGCACATACCAGATGTCCACTTTCTCAGAGCAAGGCTCATTTCTAATGACTTCTGGTGCCATCCAAGCCACAGTACCAGCAAAAGTCATCTTTGCACTTTTATCATTGAACTCTTTACATGTGCCAAAGTCAGATATCTTGAGACTGTCATTGGAGGTCACAAGAACACTACAAAACATAATGTCAACTGTCATTATTCACAAAATATTTTCATGGAAGCCATAAGTACC